TAACTTTACACGTGAAGCCTTAGACTAGTTAATGGATGTCTTGCAAGATGGTTCAGCAGTGGTTCGGTTACAAGCTTTAGAAACCATGCATCATATGGCAATTAATGGCTGTTTAAAGCTTCATGAAAAACATTTGCACATGGTATGCTTCTGATCTTTCATTAATCATTTCACTCTACAGTTTTTCCTTTCTTTGAAACTGCAAGATGCATCTCATGTTGGAATAATTATGGAACCTCCTTCCCGTTTCTGTATGGAAATTTAATGACTACAATTTGTACGCTTCTCATTTTCTAAATCATAAATTTTACCTTGTTTACTGTCGTAGGAGGTAGGTAAAAATTTAGGTGAAAAAAAATCCCATGTCTTTTTTATTTTGAAGTTTTATAGTTAAGGAGTTATGCTGGTGGTGCTGTTATTTCTCTGGTAGATAATTTGAGTTAATAGAGTTGTTTGAGTTTCAAATTAGTAAGATCTCATTTTGAGAAAGCATTTTCTGTTTTTGTTTTCTATTTTCTGTTTGAGTTTCTATTTTCACTTTTAATTAGAAAATGTCACCTTGTTTCCATTTTCACTTTTAATTAAAAAAAATATCATGTTTTCACTTTCTTTGCTATTTGCAAAAGTTTGTATAGGAAACAGAGAAAATAATTTTTTACAAGTTTCTTTTTGTTTTTGTTCACTGTCTTCCATACAAACTTTTGAAATTAGAAAACAAAGTGACATTTTTTGTTATTAAAACTCAAAACAGAAATGGAAAATAGAAATCATTTTCTCAAACCAAACGGCCATTAAGTTTTTTACTAGATTTGTAAAATGAATTAGGTCACTACTAGGGTTGAAAAAATTGCTTTTGGAAAGTGAAGAATGAATAGTGAGGTGCATGGCAAATTGTTCTTAATGGTCGCAAAAAAAAAATGATTTGAGACTGCCTATTTGAGGTATACTGAAGTAACTAAACAGAAAAAAAGTGCTTTGGTATCTATGGGAAGATCAAAAATTAAACACACAAAAAAAGTATTTTGTTGCTGGTAATCAAATCAAATACCAGGGGACTGTTATATCTTTTTCCTCATTTAATTTTTTTTTTGCTAACTGTCTTGGACAGTCCTTTAAGTTTCAGCTGATAAAAACTTTAGCATAAACATAACCATGGTGAACAGCATGATCAGGTTGTGGTGTGTTATTGAGACTGGTTATGGATATTGAGTGTGTTTTTCTGAGTTGAATTCTCAAGTGATCTTAATCTTTTTTAATAAACCTAGATTGCCAAAATGATGAAATTTTCTATTACTCACCAAATGGTATTAGTATTATGTTGCAATTTATCATTGATATTATTCTTATGTTTCATTTTATTTTGCAGTTTCTTGGTGCTCTGATGGACAACAGTTGGGATGTAAGATATACAGATAGGAAAATACTTAAAGTAGTGAAGCTAAATCAGCTGACATTGTTCAAATCATGTATTGACAAACTTCTGAGAAATTTAGACAGTTATCCACAGGTTTGCTTTATATTATGTTCCACTAGTCTTTTGTTTTTTCAAATGGCTATGTGAAGTCTTCTTAATTTTATTTATTTTCAAGATGCAAGAGGGTTTTATCTGCAAAAATATGTTAAACTCACTAGATAAAATTGTTATTAATACAATACTTATGAAGATTTCAATTCACTTATGAGATCATTTGATTCATTTTCATTTTGATGATTTAATTATTTGTTCTTTGATCTCATCCGTTCTTGATATACCTGTTAGGAACTAGCATAGGAATGGTAAAACTATTGTTGATACTGAATTAGAACTATTATCAGAGGTACAAACCTCTTTTACAATGCTGCAACCCAAGAAAATAATAAATAAACCTAGGGTAATGGCTGTTAACTAGCTTCTTGCGAGATGGACAACAGAAAACAAATAGCAGAATAATCTCTCAAAGCCTTATTCACCAGCCCAATTTCATTTCCCTGCCACTACCATACCCATATATAATGGACCTATCAATACCCCACTGAAAATTCATTTTTCTCATATTTAATGTTTCTGATACAAGACCCCTCGGTAAAAAGGTATATGTGTGAAGGCAGAAGAATAGAGATGGGAACAAGGGCACAACTGATATGGGTAAAGTTGTAACTAGCCCGCCAAGTTTTTAACTGACTCAACTGTACCAGAAGCTGTAACTAGTAGAATAAATAGGAAGACTAATCAGAGTATGGGGTATGAATTGTAGTATTCTTTGGGACAGGTTCTGGGGACTCTTGAATTGCCCTGAGTTGTAAACATTTCTCTAGGTTATATCGATCTACAGTTTACCTTAATAAAATTTCACTTTCTTTGTCATCTGGATCTAAATCCTTAATTTTCCCCTCTTTTACCAGTTGATTCTATCAGTTACTCATTACTTATAAAACTCACCTTAAAGTCAAACATGATGCACAACTCAACCTGCCATTGTCCCATTCAATCACATTTGACTGCCAGAATCCTTGGATTAAAATGAAAAGCAGTATAGAAGGGAAAACCCTGATCTTGATGACTAGTGATGTGTTTAATCAAAACTGGCAAGAAACAAGCTTTTGTTCAAAATGTTGACACTTTTCAAACTCAACCAAACACACATGTACATGTATTTCTATTTCAATATTCAGGCAACAAAGAACTATGTATATCCTTGACTACATATAATTATATTTTTTAACCTCTTACCCATTTTATCTCATCTGTTTTTCATTTTTAATTAAGTAATAATGTGTTTTACTGCTTTTGCATCATCGTCATCTCTTATTTCACAGTTGCACTTGCAATTTTGGCAGTTTTACATGCTCTTAATAGAAGCTACTAGTCCCTTGGGAAGAATATCCTTATTTACATGTATTTTTCACCCTTGTACGTAATATTCTTATCTTTGCTCCATTCATGTCTCAATATTCCACCATGGTTTAAACTTTAGTTGTGGCTTGAAAAGTTATATTAACAGCCATAGAGGTGTGTAGCAGAACTGGATTGGTTAAACAGAATGATGGTAATGATTCAAGGGAAAACTAGGTTCACACTTGGAAGGATGGGAGTGTTCACTAGCAACCATCCAGCATTCTGAAAACAGATGTGGACAAAATGATATTTTATGGTCCTCCAAAGCACTCGCTTTCCCTAAACTATTGAAAGAGCAAAAGTAAAAGAGGGAATGATGCCATAGCAGAATTGAAAAGTGATCGTTAACTTGTTAAAACAAAAGGACACGATAGGAAAATTGTCAAGTTTGTCCCTTCCTCATTGCATCCAAAATATTGCCTTTGCTTTATCAATTACACACATCTTAATCCTGTTCTTTTAAAAGACAGCCAACCCAACCACTTTTTAACTGTTATTTCTTCCACATGTTTAACTTTCAACTTTTATGTTTCCAGGATGAAGCTGATGTATTTTCTACTTTTTCTCATCTTGGCCGAAATCACAAGAAGTTTGTAAGCTTGATTATCAAGGACACGTTTAAAGAGGTGAACTGATTTCGATTATTGTATATAACCATATACAATAACTTCTAGAACATTTGGCATATTTTGCATGACAATGAAACAGATATACTTATATTCCTTTGAAAGAGTGGCACTGATTACTTTTTGATTTTGCTTTTACAGGTAGGAACAGCTTTGGAAGGAAATGTAGAATTTAATAGTGCAAGGATAGCTTCACTGTTAATCCTTTCTATATCTGCTTCACTCTTGAATGCTGATGTACGCAACATACCACCAGTAATGTTTTCTTATGCAGTTACATTCCTTGGTAGAATTTGTAATGCTTTTAGTGATATCATGGATAGGAATGCCCTTTTGGCCTGCCTATGTGACAAAAGCAGATCTATGGATCATTCCGCAACAAATAGTAACCCAGAAGAAGGGGAGCAACTGTTGCCTTTATTTGAAGGTGATTCTCCAAATTTTGATGGCAATGAGGTGATCGACTCTGAAATTGACTCACTTGTCACAAGGGAGCCAAAAGAGGTATCAAATTATCAGATAGAACAACGACAATCAGTGTATAAAGAAGTTATAAACTTAACAAATTACATCCTTGAAAAGCCCCCTGATATGTGGCCAAGGATACAGTCAGGTCATACAAATGAAGTGCTAAGGTCCTTAAGGTAATAAATTGTAGTATTACATGAGTAACATGTGTGCCGTGGCATTCCTTGTTGCTTCTTCCTATATTTGCATTATGTGTGTTGCATACAACTACAAGTATTCCTAAATCTGTGTTCAGACTTCGCTTCCAAATGTCCACTAACTCAATTTGGGCATATTGATGTATATTTCTGTGATGAGTTTACATTACATACAAAATATGGGGATTCTGGTTAGTTGATAATGTCTTTCTTCAGTTTCTAGGCTTGAAATTTAAGATGTACTACAAGCTTATAATATACTTAAATATGACATTTTCTTATATTTGATTGTTTTAATTTAGCATGCATGCATCTAATATTGTCTCTTTGTTCTTTTTAATCATTTTTTCCATTGGGGTGCTGATGTCAATGATGCAGGTGTTTGAAGGAATTAACCACTATGAAATTTGATTCTTCGGGATCTGGTGATGCTGATGCTGATGCTTTGGCATTTATTTCACTATATCTCCGGGTAATTGAGCTACTTGCCGAAGTATGGGAGCACTTGCTACCAGCAAAAAGGTTGTGTTCTCAGAAAATAGGAAAATTGGAATTCAAACTGAGAAAGCTTGATAGGAGGGTTAAAGAATTGATAAGTAGGTTTATAGGTTATTCTGCCGAAGAGGAATTGAATGTCTTGGAGCTAATGTTATTGACTTGTATCCTCAGAATATGTAAAGATGAAATCAGCTGTATTAATCATACATTCAAGGGGCTGACTTCTCTATATTTACGTGCTGAAGCTATCCTTAAAGAAAGTTCAACATTGCCATCAAATTTCGTTGTTGAACTTGCGAAAGTATTAAGTAGCACCACCATAGATGGAGCTTCATGCAGTCTACTTCAGTTTGATGCATGTCTCAAGTTCTTCTCCTTGAAGCAGTTTGTGTTTCATGGATCCATCAAACATGTAAAGGCAGAACTAAGGGTTCCCAATAATGACTATGAACATCCTCTTCCCTTTGTTCCAAGACTACCCGTTGGTGTACAATGTGAAATCAGTCTCCATAACATTTCAAGTGATAGTAGGTTGTGGCTAAGGATGACTATGGATGATGGTTTCATACAATATGTCTTTCTAGATTTGGACCGTTTTGAATGCTCTGATGAGCTAAGAAAATTTACATTTGTTGCACCGTTCTACAGGACAGCAGAAGCTAATTCTCTAACATTAAAGGTTTGCATTGGTTTAGAATGCTTCTTTGAAAATGTTAAACCAGTCCAAAGGTTTGGGGGACCAAAACATGAACTAATACTTCTTTGTAAAGAAAAACAAGTTTATCTGTCCAAGGTTAATAAAGATTAATTATTTTTCTCTTGACTTTTAGCTGTTATTGGAATTTTGGACACTATTACTTGTTATGTTGAGATACAAATAAAATAACACATCCTTATAATAAAAGGAAAAACATGAACTTATAAGCACTCACACAAAATGTCTCCTGCTATAAACATTTTTTTAGGTGATGATTAAAAGTAGATTTATGAGTTTAAGCTTAAAATAGAAAATATCGTATAAATACTGTGAAATTTCAAACTTGTTATGTAGTGATGGGTATAGCAATGGATAAATAATTAATACAATGAAAATGTAAATATTATTTGGGTTGTCATTTAATTACAATTGTTATGTGGTAAGTTTATTTATTTTCATAAATATGTAAAAGATGTTTATCATGTCTTTTTGTTGGTTGAGTGTAACAATTTTACACCAAGAATAAATAGAAATTTATAAGTTTATAACTATTTGAGAAATGTTAATAATGTAGTATTTAAAATGTTTTTTATACTCTTATTGACTCATTTTGGATATCACGGGATCATAAAGGTAATTTTTTAAATAAAGAGTGTGATTCAATTTTTCAGATAATAGAATATGTTAGAATATGAAATTTAAGATTTCCTAACTATATTCAAGTACCTAGCTACCTAGTTCGACTCCATTAATAAGTAGGTTTCTGATAAAATTCATTTATTATTATTATTATTATTTATTTTCAATTTGTAGTAATTCAATTTTACACAAGATATATATTTTTTCATGTTATTTTTTGTTCATAGACATAGATCACCCAATTTATTAAAATTGTCAATTGAAAATTAATCGTCTTTGCAAGATGTGACTCTCATACTAACTAATAATATTATTTTTGGTTTATGAATATGTTCCACGCAGATGTAACTTTGACTAATCAAACATTATTTTAACACGAACAAAAATCGAACCTAAGGTCATACAAAATGTAATTTTTGTACTAACTAATAATATTGTTTTTTTTTTGTCCATAGATATGATTCACTTAAGTGTGACTTCCACTAATCAAACATTATTTTAACAGACAAAAATTGAACTTGAAACCATCATGTCAATCTCTCATGTCTTAAGATAAGTCTTATACCTTAACTAATTAATAATATTATGAAAAGGTAAAATATGTTTAAATTTAATTAGAATTAGAATGCAGATAATAATATTATGAAAAGGTAAAATCCGTGTTTAAATTTAATTAGAATTAAAATACAGATATGGTGTAATTTATTTTTTTCATAGTGTCATTCAAGTACAGAGATAGGTTGGGATGGTCAAGGAGCATTTTAAAATATTTAAATTATCTAATAAATATATAAACATCAAATTTTATATAAAATTTATAATTATGTATTTTTTTTAAAATGATCGAAGAACATGATAAAAAATATTTATATAAAATAAAAATTAAATATAATTTTTTAAAGACTCGAAATTAGAAATGTCAATGATCAACTTCACATTCAACCAAGAACATTTATAAATTTATTAAGAAATAATTTTATTAATTATGTTTTGCTCTATGTCAAAAAAAATAATGTTTTGAAAATCTATTAATTAAAATGAATTATCTTACTTCCTAAATTATCTTTTATGAAAATAAAAGCCAACAACCAATAAAAAAATTACTTTCAAATTGTTGAAAAATAAAATAAGAATGTGACAAAGATTAATGCTTTGAATGCAAATTATAGCATACCTCTAAATCTAATTTGCTTTCCCAAATTTGAACAATGATATGTTTGGATCTATGTACTTGAGACCAGAAATAATGGAAAGAGGAAAAAATATTATTAAATTACTATTTTGATATGTTTTATTTAATTTAGTCTTTTTATTTAAAAATATTTAATTTGATTCTCTAATTTAAAAATTTTCCAAAATCTTTAATGGTATTGGTTGCTTTGACCAAAAAAAAATATAAAAATTAAAATGTATACTCAAAGAAATAAGACATTAAAAAATATTGAAATAAATATGAAAATGATATACTCAAATATATAAGATATTAAGAAAAGGTTTAAATATGTTTTCTTTTTGTATTCACACGTGTCCTAAGGTTTCATCTTAGAATAATGTAGTTTGGCTAGGAGATAAGTAAGGTTTGGTCAAAGATTATTAGCAATACTTAAACAATTTGACGTTGAGTTTAGTACATTAACCACTTTGTCCAACTCCTTGGTTCAAGATGATTTTAGTATCTCAAATTTAAGATAATATCTTTTTTGTTCCTCAGATTTAAAATTATTATTTTTAATCATGTAATTTTCAAAAACTTTATTTTAGTATCTATAGACAGATTTTATGCAATATTATGTGACAAATTTTCTAACTATTTTTTAAAATTATAAGGATTAAAAAGAGTAATTTTAAATTTGAGAAACTAAAAATAAATTTAACTTAAATTTTAAAAATTAAAAACGTATTTAAACCTTAAAATATTAAAATAAATATAAAGATGATGCATAAAAATAATATTTAAATTTTGAAGATAAATATATACTTAATTTTGATGTTTAGTTATTGTTTTGTTAGATAGGAAATTATTCATTTGACATGAGAATATAAGAGACACATGTCAGGAATTATCCTTTAATAGAAGAGTATTCAAATGACAGGGAATATTCAAGAAAGTTGAAGGTTTATCAAGTATAGAATATTTTAATTTATATATAGAGTTTTAATATATGTTATCAAAGAGAAATATTATTAAAATTATTGTCATGTATTATATATTTGTGAAGTGAAATCAAATTATGCTAATTTAACTTTTATCCATTATTATATTATTTTTAATGTCGTAAATTTTATTAATTCAATTATTAAATTATAATTTTATATTATATTAAAATTAAAAAATAATAAGTTATTCATATGATTAAAATTATTTATATTTTAATGTATTTTAAAAATTCTATATTTCATTTACCTTTATATCCATACAAAATCATCTTATTTAAAATCAAAAGTCTTCATATCTGATTAAAAATCGGTTACATGGTAATCACCATGGAAGAAAAGAAGACGACACCACCAATCCTCTTTGATGTCACCAAGTTCTTCCAATCCTTAAAAGATCACCCCAAAACATGGAGTTCCTACTAAAGTACTCAAACCTTCCTCAAAGGCTATGTAGAGCCCTAATCATAAGAGCCTCTGTCGTGCCACACATCCTGTTAAACTTGGCAGCATGGCGAGTATTGCAAATTTGACCTCATCTGATGAATTAGTATATTAACAGCTTCAGATTTTAATTGATTAAAAATGAAAAGGGAGCTTCAGATTTTAGTTGATTAAAATTGAAAAAGAGATCATCAGTAGGAATAACCCAAAACAAGTCATATACGATGTTAAATTGTTAACATCCTATTAAAGCCTTTATGCACATCATACAAAGTCATGAAAAATCATGTCCTCATCGTATAACTATACAAAGATTATGATAATATGACCACTGAAGAACCTTCTGTCACTCTTGACTGCAGGCAATAGCTGACAAGAAACATCTTTTAACAGCTTCCATTGTGCAAGTTTCCTTCCATCCCTTCCCTTCTTTATAATTCTCAACCTGTATTGTATATATTTAGATAAGTCATCGAGTATAATTATGAGGCTAGTCCTAAATGTATCTTCAAAGACAAAAATATTAGTTTCAATAGATTTACTTACTGTATCTACAATGTTCTCTCCAACTTTAACTCCACCAATCATATAAATGGATTCCTTGATAACTACAGCAGCAGAATACCCTCTTTGATGATTCATTGGTTCCCCCATTGTCCATGCCCCAAGACGAGGATCGAACACTTCCATACTTGGAACCATTTTGTCTCCATCAAAGCCTCCAAGTGCGTACCTACACAATGCATGAAGAATTTTAAGTGAAGCATATATTGGTCTAGCACAGAAATTTTCAGAACAGGGTTAGGACTTAGGTCTATGGTAAGAATAACAGTACTTTTTCTATAGAATTTTACCTTGTTAATGACTACATAAATTTGTCCAAAATGATTTACAGATAAGTTGAGCACTTTCCAAACAATCACCTAATGGTTCTAGAAAACAAATTTAGATTTATAAAACAAATTAGCGGGTGCAATTGGGTCCGGTTGGGTTACATCTGGGGTATTTAAGAATCCAAACCAATTAAATTGCATCGAGTTGAGCTGGCTAATGTTCTCTTTTTTGGGAATACAACCCAAAACAAACCAACCCACTCTCTACCAAGTTGTTCAAGGTCGGGCCAACGGATCACAAAATTGATTAATTACACCAAAATGAAAAAAATAATAATAATTACACTACAGAAACTGCAAAGCTACTGCAACACCATGCCTACACCAACCTTTGTTGGTGATAATGGTGGGACAAATGGTAAATTGTAGTGTGTGAACAATCCCACATCAGTGTTTAGGAACACGTTCTGTTAGAGTCAGTTTCAATTGGGTTCATTGGTAACCCAACACCTGAACCGAACAAGATTGGGTTCAGTCAACACATACAAACAAACCCGTTACTTGAACCAAACTGAGAAAATAGAATTGGATCAGTTAAACCGGATTCATGACCTGCTCATACTTACTTGCACCCCTTACTTTTAAGCAGAAAATGGACCCTTATGAATTTATATCTATTTTTCCTTTCGATTTTTTTCAAAATCATCGAGTACTGGTGGCATTTTCAAGAGCAATACATCGTAAAACACTCACAGCATACTTGTGGCAAGTTTAGTTACCAGTTCATCAATAAAACCAATGAAATTAAAGGCAAACAAGGAGAAGAAATATATTGAACTCACAACTTTTCATTTAGAACAACTACCGAATGGCAGCCCCGCTTTACATTCATGTTTGGTATTTTGGTCCAAGAATGTTCCCTGGGATCAAATCTTTCGGCAGACCTGCAGTTTTCACATTATTATAAATATAAAATAGCATCCTATTATATCAACAAAAAATCAGTCTAGATCAACAATGTTTGGACGATTAGTTTCAATTTCAACTAATTACATTTGAACCAAAATCAAGATATAAATATCACCTTAAGTAATCATTTCCATCAAATCCACCAGTGGCATAAATCACACCATTGAGTTCCACTGCAGCAAGAGCAAATCTCTGGAAATATAGAAGAGGCACCCATGCAATAAGTCAAATAAATTGTATGCATTTCATAGAAATTATATAAATGATCACTTAATTATTCTGCCATGTGAAAAGACGAGACTTGGGTGAGTCAGAGCAGTGACTTCACATCCTAGAAGTGACTATTACATAGAAATATTAAAGGCATAAGGTCAAATACAAAAACTTGATTAAAACATACAGACTAGATCATGATATGCTAGTTACCCCCCTAAACCATTTTACAGTTGCTGCTTGTAAAAAATTAACCGGCAAAAGTAAAATTTAAATGGACATATTATAAAATATTAATTTCCCTGACATCTTTAGAAGCTTAAGCCTAAAAAATCACATGATCTATCCTGTCATTTTGCAGTTACCCATAATTATACCTCAAATTTCAATCAAGACCTGAAATATTAACCATTTTATTGTTCCCATTATACCCTTTCTAGCATTGAGCGTGTAGGAATCCACCGCCCAATATCTAAATCAAGCATCTCAACATCCGAAAAGCAGTCAACTCCATTGCCACCACCAACAGCAAATATTTTTTCATTCAAAGCAGCTCCAGATAAGCTTCCTTTCTTCTGGTTCAAAGAGGGGCACAAGGTCCAGTTGTCATGAACTGGATTGTATGATTCAACTACACAGATAGAAGATAAAAGGGATGACAAAACATCACCTCACTTCAAAATATAATTATTTGATAAGCACAGCTAGATCGCATACCTGTGTCATACCAAACATAACCATTTCCACCACCAAAAACATAAATTTCATCATTCAACCGAACAACTGAAGCATATGATCGAACAGAGCTCATAGGCGCAAGAGATTTGGTTACATTTTGAGAAGTACAATACAAATCAATAGTTGCTAACCATGATTTTCCATCAAAGCCTCCTATTAAAAATAATGAATCTTTGGGATCTAAATGCAGCTCAGCCATAGACTTTATTACTGTCTTCTCAACGTGTGTCAAATGATTAGAAGTATTACATGCAGATTCTAAAAGTGAACAACGATCTTTTAGGTGCTGAATTTCCATTTCTGCTTCAATCTGAATATCAAGTAAAAAATAAGCCAATATATGTATGAAAAAGAAATAAAATAAAATAAAAATAAGCACAATTAAAGATACCAAAATCACTTCCAAAACATTTTAGGCTTCAATGTCACTCGGATAAATTTAATCGAATTATCAACCTACATTTAATTGCAGTCATTTATGCCTTTTGGGCCTTTACTTAATATAGAGCTTCTCAAGTAATCAATGCAAGTTTTTAACAATTCTTAGTTTTTCTTCATTTATCCAGCCATGCATTAATACTTTAAAGTAACTTACATTATCTTTGGTTTGCTTTCTAAAGATTTTAAATTATGTTGAAGTATGTATTCTCAAACTTAGGAGGAAAGAAACCCCACCCCTTCAATGGTCATTGAATAGATGTAGCAGGAGAGAAACCTGATAAAAACCTTGGGAGAACCAGTAGCCAAAAACTAGTTGTTGTAGTTTAAGAAGCCAAAGTCAGATAAATCCCATACTTGCACTGTGAGACTTAAATCCCATACCTTGGAATTGGATCCTAACATCCCACCATGCTCTACTACCTAAGTGCCCACATGAGCTGATTGTGCACTAGCCCTTTGACCAGTCCAAAGGGAACACTGCAATGTGTTCTAATTTTATTTGCAGCTAAGAGACATGGTGGAAGGTCTTGATACCAATTGATTAGAATCTTGTGAAAACCACACCACAAAAGCTAGTTGTTGAAGCTTAAGAGCTTAAGCCCTTATAAACCCCACACTAGAATCCCATATTCCTAATGTGGGATCCAAGTTTCATATCTTGCAATTGGATCCTAATATAACAAAAAAAGAAAATGTGAAACTCCCTACATTTAAGTTACTTGAATTTGACTCAACTTGTTTTATTTCACTCTCCCACTGCATTACTGCAGTAGAACCAAAACTTTGTGATAATGAATCAGTTAAAAAGGAAATTTCAAATCTGCAAAGATAGTGTAATGAGTAAAAACAAGAATCCAGCCGGTGATATACATATTTGGGGACTTAAAACAGTAGAAGATAAAAATTACATATGGGAATGATAATTACTTGACAAGAATTTATAACCACAGTAGATTGAGAAATTCCACATATGTGGTCAATTTCTATAACAGCGAACATTTTAATGCATGCAAGCAATATGCTTAAAGATGTTAGGGATGTAGAAACAATTGAGAAATATGATAAATTTCTAATAGAAACTACAACATAGAAAGAAGTACCAGCTTCTTTTCCAGGTAGCAATTCTTCTCCATTTGTATTTTCTTGAAATTTGCCAATTCCTTGACCTCTTGTACCAACTATAAATACATTAAAAGTTAGTTGCTTGCAAAAAAAAAAAAACATATTTAATGTTTTCCATCAAACAGCCTGAAAGTGAACCACCTGAGCTATGTTGTATTGATTCTCAAATGGTGGATTAGTACTCTCTTCCTTCTTATCTAAACCACTCGACGCCTCCATTTCACCCTTTTCGGTGTTATTCACATCAGGAGTATCATTGATATTCTTTGTCAAAGAGAGATCTTGACTTTCACAATTAAGAGTTAATTCTTTTAGTTTCATAAATACACTGTTCTTCTCGTCCTCTTTTACTTCTTTCTCAACCGCATTATTATCTAATGGCCAGATGCGTTCATCTAAAGAAAAGTCATTTTCAGTAAAATCTGATCTTGTACTTGAGTGAGTAGAATGCTCTGTCTCTAATTCAAGCATTTTAGAAGTTTCACCTTCCTTCAGAATTTCATGCGATGCAAGGGATCGAGATACAGTTGTCCACCTCTGTGTATTCTGTGGGACAGAAACACCAGAGGCAATTGCTCCAGATGATAGTAAGGAAATAAGCTTGCTTGTTTGCGCATGGTCTAGTTCAAACCAGAAATGGTTATGAATGTAGTAGTTGTCTGCAATTACTGGTTTAAATTTGTCTTCAGAAAGTGGCTGGCACTGAAGTCGGACACAAATTTGCACCTTAAATATTAATAAAAAAAAGTATAAGCATAAAGGCCTTTTCATGAATAATGACCGCATAGAATCATATCAATTATAGTCTAAGAGTGAGTGATATACCTGAGCAGGATATTGTGTTCTATCTGAGCCATCGGAAGTCCATCCATAGGGGTCTATATGCATTCTCCCACTGCTAGCTGCCTCAAAAATTCCATGAAGTTTCCTGTCAGTATAATTAAACAGAAATAGAGGCAACCCTGGAACAATATTCTTCACATAAGAGAAGTGCTGAGCTGGTAAGCCTGTTCAAAACAAATAAAAGTTCCCATGAGCTAGAGATTACAAACCTCATCTTCACTGGCAGTACTGCTCATCATATGTAAACAATACAAATTTTCAGAACCAAGTTCGTGATAGAATATGTCTTTCCATGTCATATAGAGCAGAGACTTCTGATGAGCACAGCATAGTGTTCATTTCAAAATGCTGAATATAATAAATGGTTTTAAATTACGGCTGTTGATTTTGTTGCAATCCTTGATGTAGCGAGAAAATGCAGCTGATGCAACCACAATAGCTGTTGCAATGCGGCCCTGGTGTGTCTAAAAACCTTTGCGTTTGCAATTGTGGTTGCAGATCATTTTTTTAAAACCGTATAATGTCATGTTAGTGTTTCAGACTTATACAAGCAGATATCGCACACTATATTTTAATAGAGGAAAAGAAAAAAAGAGAACTGACCAAAGAGTTGTTTAGACAGACATTCTTTCATTGTGCTGTTCTTACATCCAAAGATGACTCCACCAAGTTGATTCTTCCTCAAATTTCTGCCACAGCCTAAATTGGGAGAGAAAGATTGAGAATTTTGTATTTTCTTCCATGACCCCACCCTGGTATAAGAGGAGAGGTGAGGTGATTTCATTTATAATTTATGGCAAAAATTAGAACATAAAGAAAAGTAAGTTATCAACATCCAGCTAAGGCATCCCCAGAGACAAAGGAATTCGGGGTTTGGATGACAAAAAAAGGTTTTCTTTTTCAGTTATTAAAAAGATGGATACATTATTCACATTCTACATACATACATTTCACACAAATGCGTTTTAAAAGTTAATTGCAACTCAAACACAATCCATATTTCCAACATACAAGAACCATGATACAAGAAAAAGAACAGTTCCACAGTAAAAACTCTCCTGTTTAGAAACTTTATCAATGTATCAAGACATAAAATGTGGCATCCACTCTCCATGAAAGTAGGAACAAGAAAAGAGAAGAATAGAACAAACCCAGTTCAAAAATCCAAAATTGAAAAAATGGGGTTTAGCCCAACAAAACAAAACTCCAAAACACATGGAAGTTTCAAAAACAACCAAAACCTTTCTTAAGTGGCATTCACTGCCCATGCAAGTAAGGACCAAAATAGAGAACAACAGAGCAAACCCAGTTCAAAAATATAAAATTGATGAAATGGGGTTTATCCCAACACTCCCAAAAATCGAAAACTCTAAAACGACATGAAAGATTCAAAACCTTTCATTGTGGCTATAATCAAGAAGTGGGAAGAAAGAAAGAAAAACAAAGAAAGTGTGCATTTAGGAAGCCAACATTTTTTTTCTGGTATGCACAAAGCGAAGGATGAAGAGAGAAATGGAAAGACGAGAGAGATGCTCCAATGATGGGACAGAGTAAGAGGGAGTCGTAAAGACTGAACAAAGCTTATAAAGTAAGAAGCAATGGTCTGTAATGACTAATGTTACAGTTACCGTGCAAAACACATCAAGCCACTTTGGTTTGTGCAGGGGAAATCATTTTGAAGCAAGAATTTTTTTAAGTTATATATTCTTTTTTATTTTAATCAAATAAATGTTTTATTTTCTTTGGAAAGGTAGGAAACTGCGGTATTACTGTTTAGTATTTACATCGTTTAAATTTGTATTTGATATAGAAAAAAGGTTACGATAAAAAAACGGAAGCATGTACAAAATGAAATGAAGATGAAAGTTGTTTAATAGAAATTTTTTTAATAATTCACTATAATTATTATATTTAGTGGAATCACCATGTAACGGTGGATTGTTACTAATTAAAGTCGTGCAAATGAATAGGTGTTATACATGTGTAAGTAACTATACAAATATAAATGGTATAAATATAGTTATTTAGTAAAAGTCAAATAGTTAATATAAGTATTGATCAAATATAAATTATATAATTATCATAATAGGGTAGTATAAAATATCCAAAAGTATCATATATTTGATAGTCTTTATTAAGCACTTTAGCAAATTTAATTATATTATACTTTCATATCAAATAAGATTATCGAAATTCAACCATATAAAAACAAGTAAGGGTAACCTAAAGTTTAAAACAAAAATAAGTGTGAGAATAAAGTATTTATATTCAACATCATCATGCAAATCAAGCAAACACACCATAAGATTCACATCAAGAATAATCACTATGTGTTGAAAGTTAAAACACTCAAGCAATCAAACTTACACTACAATCTTATCACACAATATACCCATCTCATGCATATGAATAACAACAACTCACAACACATCATATGTATATTCAATAATTAATGTATTATTACGCATTTACCTACGAAGATCTCTTAAATACACTTGTGCAGTCTAAGTGATTTTACCCTATCGAATCAATCCTAGTCATTTTCATGTTCAATGCGCATGCAAGATCAACAACTATAATGGGATATTAATCCCTCTTTTGATTTGTCAAATGGCGCCACTTACATTAGAAAAATTCAGTTTCATCATCAAGACTATTATAACTAAGTATAGGCGTGCTAGAATTTTAACATGCATTACCAAGTCACACATGGAATTAACTCACTAACTATCCTTAAGGAATCACATACGCAACCTTTCTAGTAATCTGTTAAGGTGATAGCCCTCAACTTCATATTTTACTCCATATTGACTAAAGACGCAAAGAATACTCAACAAAATCCACTCTAAGAGTTTCACCTACTTAAGGAGGGTTTTTCAACAACTAGTCTCCCATAGTGCCATAACAAGATTCTCTATATGAAATCTTTAACTTTAAAAACAACACTATCTCTTCTAGTCTTAAGCTAATCAACATATATATACTTGAATGCCAACAACATTCTCACATCAACACCTTAACATACATCATCTATATACATTACTCCAAGTTAATGCATATAAAGATCAAAACATACCAATCATACATAGCATACCAATGTTAAACGACTCACCAAAGAATAACATACCAATGCTCAATATTTCAATTAAGTACAATATATAAATGTTTATTCAACACTACAATCATGTAACTATAGCATATAAATCATACTAAGCATATCAATGTTTATTAACATTTTAACCACACAAGTATAACATACCAATATTTATTATCATTATTCTACATCATACAACAAGCAAGAGTCAAACATTCTATTCATGTTCACCATACAATATTTAATTATCAACAATTAAATCATTATATACATCATCCTAGATCAATGTATAATCAACATACAATGTATTAAATTCCCCTTCTTCAATTATCATACAAGCACTCCACTTATATAACAAAAAAGGAACTCAACACTTCAAGCATCCAAGATCTTGCTCTAAGCGACGATAATTTTCTTCGAGTGTCAAGAAACTCGTTTATAGCTAGTCAAGACAGAAAGTACCTTTAGGAGCATTGATCTAGTCGCTTCAAGTGACAACGTCCTTTCTTTAAGCAACAAAATTTGCTCAAAGCGCTCATAAATTCACTCTAAGCAAGCAAAGTCAGGGATCACCCTAAACCCCCATACCTCCTTGCTTTAAGAAAGCCTTCCTAAAAATCTGCATAAACTTAAGAACACCTCATCACCTCAAGGAAAAACATGTAAATTAAATTCCTCACATCTTAGGCTCTAAACTCAACATGTTATTAATCCATCATGAACTCTCTCCTAAACACCTACAACTTAGAATGGGAGGAAATTCCCACATGCAATAGGATCTCCATGCAAGATCATCCAAGAATTCAATTCACATGCTTCAAGAATCAACAACCCATTTCCCTTTCTACTTGTTATCCAAAATTCCAATCATATAATCACATTTGATGAAAAGCACAACATGTAACTCAACAAATCAAATACCAAAACCAATCCTATCTTCTCTTATATCGATTCCAAGCTTTCCAAAAGCAAAGGAGAGGAAGAAAAGGGGAAAAATCATTCCAAGTTCTAAACAAAAAAATTTCGCACTAATGCACTCTAATTCTTGGTCTCAAGTACTTTGAATCACTTTTAGCAACAAAACTCAGAACTCTAAACAATAGAACAAAGTCACAATATTTAAAAAAATACAAACAAAATATATTTTTTTAATTGATTTATATTGAATTAAATGAATACAAAATTAATATTATGAATTAAATTATTTAATAACCTTTTACTAAAAAATAATAAAGTTAAAATAGTTATCAATTACAAATAAACATCATCGTTTATATTAAAAGATAATCTTTCAAGCAAAACGTGGAATGATACATAAATTTAATTTAGTGATTAAATTGTTGAAATTAATATATAAATTTTTAATCAGTAATTATAAATAAAATTATTTTTTAATTTTTAATTTTGAAATATTTTCTTAATTTAAAAGAATTAAATTATAGTAAAAAATGATTAAATTATTTTAAGTGAATTATTCAACTGTGCATAATATAAAGTAGTACATCATCATTGTACTTTCTTTGAAACTTTCCCTGTATTTTGCTACGGCTGAATTTGAACCGCAGTGCATCTTTTCAGTATTATTACATTCATTGATTGGATACATGAAACGTCATTTTTCTAGCCCATGCCACACAAAGCGCCAAATCAGTTTTTTATTTATTTATTTTTTTTTTTTTATGCCAAATCAGTTTTATTGCACAAAGAAAGATGAGCAAATATCGTGAGAATAATTTAAAAATGTTAAATTGATGGATACAAAATCACTTTAGTTTATTTTGCAAAGCTAATTACACCTTTTTTTTTATAAAGAGACGTAAATATTATATTTTTTTCTTCTTTTATATTAAAAATTATTGTCTCTTTTCTCATATTTTAATATGCCACACTTTATTCACTTTTTAATTTTTTAAAAAGTTTTGTTAACTTCTGATAAAACAAAAATTATTAATAAAACATCATTTATATTAAAAATTAATCACTTATATATTATCAGTGTAAAATTTTTTTACACTAACAACCAATTATATCTTTTAATTGTGTCATCTTACTATAAATACATTTACTTTTAACAGTGACATGACACAATTAAAATATATAATTGGTTGTCAGTGTAAAAAATTTTTACACTGATAGTGTATAAGTGATTAACTCTTATATTAATTTCTTTTTATAGATCATCTCTCCTTCTTGTGTTATAAGTTATATATTTTAATATAATTTTATGATGAATTTTTTTTAGTGTTGTTTAAATAAATGTTATAAGTTATATATTTTAATATAATTGAAAAGTGATAGTATAATGATGTTATTTTTAAAAAGATAAAAGTGTAACTTATTTTATATTTTAATATATTAAGTGATAGTATATTGAACTTCATTTTTTAAAGTGATTTCTTATTTTAAAATCTTTTTGAAATAATTTGTGTATAAAATAATTTGATATTTATACAAAATAATTAAAATTATAAAATATTTTTATAAAAGAACTAAAAAAATTAATCTTTAGTTGAATATTTATAGTTGTTAAAATCTTATCACTATCATTTTTGTTTATATTTTTATATTAATCATACTATTTTTATGAAATTTAATCTTTATATTTATTTAATATTATTTTATTTAATATAAAATTATTATTATTATTAT